AGTAAATTCCTGCCTTCATCCTCTTGGAATCCTCCTTCCCCTGAGGTCCTTACTTCCAGGAACCCACCCCACCTCTGGAACTCCACGTCTTGAGCCCTGGAGCTGCGACCCTGTGAACCTTTGTGGGAGGCAGACACTGCCCAGGGCTCCTTGGAACCCAAATCTCTGGTCCCTCTTTCCAAAATCCACCTTTTGCCAGGCGTTGTGACCCATGCCTGTAATCCCTGCGGCTCAGGAGATGAGGCAGTAGGATCGCAAGTTCCAGGCCAACCTCATCAACTTAATTAGATCCCCGTCTCAAAAAGTAAAAAGGACTGGGGGTGTAGCACCCCTGGTTCAATCCTCAGTATCCAAACAAAAGCAAAATCACTCCGCCCCCCTCTAAGTTGAAGAGTTGCAGGCAGTCAGCCCATCCTCTTGGCTTGTCTCCCCCCAGGTGTCATCGCTCAGGAGGTGAAGGAGATCCTGCCCGAGGCTGTGAAGGACACGGGGGATGTGGTCTTTGCCAACGGGAAAACCATAGAGAACTTCCTGGTGGTGAACAAGGTCAGTAAGGTGGGACCTGAAGGGCTCTGGAGAGGGGCAGGCCAACTGGGGGCAGAAGGCAGGCCCAGCCCAGTCTCATGTTGCCTCCAGAGCCCCGTCCTACCTCACAGGGAAGGGTGCCAGCTCTCCAGGTGGAGGGTGGATTTGGCTAGGAGAGGCCATGAGGTCTGGGACAGGAGAACCTTGCAGAGAGCCATCTCCTCCCTTGTTAAACATGGGTAGTGAGACACTGTCACGGCTATCAAGGCCTGAATGTGTTCTTTATTATGTGACATTTCTAACTTAATGTGACATGAGGCTGGGCACTGAGGAGGCTCTTCTGAGTAGGAAAGTGCCCAAGTCTGAGATACCTGGTCATCAGGGCAGACCCAGGCTGTGGGGTGCCTCTGAAGGCTAGAGCTCTGATTCCGACAGCAAGGAGGGCCGTTCAGGCAAGGTGCAGCAGGGATGCAGTGTGGAGCCAGCACAGGGGAGGGGAGGCCCACACCAGGTAGGAGGCTTCAGGGGCTTCCAGGTGGCAGTGCAGAGTGGGGCTCTGCTCTGCTCCTCAGTGGTCTGCAGCCTGGGCCCCGGGGCTGACTGTGCCCTCAAGGTTGGTCCTTGGCCCTGGCAGGAGCGCATCTTCATGGAGAACGTGGGGGCYGTGAAGGAGCTCTGCAAGCTGACGGACAACCTGGAGACGCGAATCGATGAGCTGGAGCGCTGGAGCCACAAGCTGGCCAAACTGCGGCGCCTCGACAGCCTCAAGTCCACTGGCAGCTCGGGGGCCTTCAGGTGGGGGCATGGCATGGGGCAGGGAGGGCAAGGCCCCCTTCCAAGAGGCACCTTTGACTGTGGCCCTCTTACTGCAGCCACGCAGGGAGCCARTTTAGCCGGGCAGGCAGCGTTCCTCACAAGAAGAGGCCCCCCAAGGTGGCCAGCAAGGTGAGGGTGGGTGCTGGGTGGCAGAGAGGTTGGGCAGGGACTTTTCCATCCTGTGGCCTCCCTTTCCAGCTTCCCCTCTGCAGCCTCACTGACTCCTGGTTCTCCCCCCCCCCCCCCCCCCCCCCCCCCCCCCCCCCCCCCCCCCCCCAGTCCTTAGCCTCCCAAGCCGTTTCTTCTTCCACTCCCTCTGCCCCTGGGGGAAAGGGTGACCCCTGGATAGGGTAAGGCTGCAGGCTTCCTAAGTCTGCCCTCTTCTGCTGCTTCCCCTTTTCCTCCTGGTTCTCAGTCGTCATCAGTGGTGCCAGACCAGGCCTGCATCAGCCAGCGCTTCCTGCAGGGAACTATCATTGCCCTGGTGGTGGTCATGGCCTTCAGGTGACTTGTTGCCCAGGCTGTGGGGGTGGCTGACTGAGAGAACAGAGCTGCTCAGTGGGGTCAGCTGTCCACTAGCCCAGGCCCGAGGAGAGGAGAGGGAGATGTGGCTTGGAAGATCTAGTGGCTGAGGCTTTGGGGGCAGGTGGGCTGCTTCCTCTGTCTCCTCTTTCCAGGGTTGGGGAGATCCATTTGGGCATCACTTGGGAACCCGGTCCCTGGGGCCAAGAATCATAGGTAATACCATAAAGAGAGGGTGCTAATGTGCCTCCAGCTCTAACGGTAACCCTTTTCCGTGGCTCCCAGCGTGGTGTCCATGTCCACACTGTATGTGCTGAGCCTGCGCACCGAGGAAGACCTGGTGGATACTGATGGGTATGTCCCTGGAGGTCAGGCTGCTGTTAAGTCCCCATGCCAGGTGGGGCTTTGGCAGAAAGCCCAGGGTCAGAGGATCCATGGAAGCTGTCTCTAAAGGGGTTCAACCTTAGGCTCTGAGCCTGCTAGGGGTAGCTGGGGCGGAAGGGTCTCCCTGGATGGTGGGCAACAGATCCCTGTCCCTGCTGACACCAAGGTTTCTCTCTGGCCAATTTAGTGCTCTTCCAGGTCAGCCAGCTGAGGGGCCCTGGTTGGAACAGGGGATGCGGAGGGTCAGGGCAGGACATTGGACTCTGTCTGCCCTCTGTCACCCTCAGCCCCGGGTCTACCTCTGACTRTGTCTTTTCTTTCTCTCCTCCCCTGCACCTATCTCCCTCTTGATCTCTGTGTTGCCCCCTAGCTCTTTTGCCGTGTCTACTTCCTGTCTCCTGGCCTTGCTCCGGCCCCAGCACCCTGGGGGGAGTGAGGCCATGTGCCCATGGTACGTGTCTGACCAAGTGCCCTCCCTCCTCTGGCTCCTGTTGCCCCTTTCCTGCCTCCTTTCCAACTTCCCTCTCCGCCTCCTCCCAGCCTTCCTGCTTCTTGGGGACTCCCAGGCTCCTCCAGCCGCTCTGAGCTCAGCCCMCCCTTCCCCAGCAGGTCCAGCCAGAGTTTTGGAACCACTCAGCTCCGACAGTCCCCTGTGACCACTGGGTTGCCAGGCACACAGCCCTCTTTRCTGCTGGGTGCGTATCAGGCAGGTGTGGAGGGGTGGGAAGGGGCAGGTGGCTGTGTTCTGGGTGGGGCTCTGCTGCCCTCCTCCAGCTCACACTGCCGCCGTCTTCCTCAGTTACGACCAGCCTGATCAGCTCRGCCCCAGGTCCAGCTATCCGCACGTTGGACCTGTGCTCCAGCCACCCCTGCCCTGTCGTCTGCTGCTCTTCACCCGCCTCCAGCCCTGCCTCGGACCCTAGTCTTGACTCCAGTTTTAACCCTGGCCATAGTCCCACCCCCAGAYCTAGCCCCAGTCCCAGCACTAACCACTCAGGTACAGCTAACCCAGGRGTGGTGGTGGGGGTGTCCAGCTTCCCTGAATCCAGAGAAAGGCCCCAAAGACTAATAGGTGGGAGGGTCTCAGGTCACCCAGAATGAGGGTTGGAGAAAAGACTGGGGAGTTCCCTAAGGATACCAAGAGACACATGGGGTTCCCTCGAGGCCCTAGAGACAGCTGGACAGGAGATAGCTAGCTCCCCTCCTCTCAGCCTATCCTTGGTTCTATCCACAGGCCCCAGCCAGATGGCCCAGCTGCCAGTCACCAACATCAGAGCCAAGTCTTGGAGTATTTCAGCCAATGGCATTGGCCACTCCAAACATTCCAAGGGCATGGAACCTGTGGCCAGCCCTGCAGTTCCCTTCCCTGGGGGGCAGAGTAAGGCCAAGAACAGCCCCAGTCTTGGACTCCATGGCCGGGCCCGCAGAGGAGCCCCCCAGACCAGCCTGGGCCCTGCTCAGCCCACTCACAGCCAGCCAGGTACTCGTCTCACCCCTGAAACTTCCCAGCCCGGCCTGGCAAGGCTTACTGGCCAGGGCCCATTTCAGCCCTGTCACATGATGCACGGGTGCAGAATTATCATCAACAGCATTTGCTGARCATGTGCTAAGTGTCAGGGATCAGGTCAGGAGCCTTAAGTACTCACAACACTCCTGCAAGAGAGAAACTGTCCCCACAGTCTAGGTGAGGAAATGGAGACTTAGGAAAAGGACTTGCCCAGGGTCATACAGTGATCAGTGGCTCCACCTAGAATTCGCTTCCTGGTTGGCCAAACTCAAGTCTGGCTACTTTGTCWCCATGCAAAGATGAGAAAGGTGCTGTGTGGAATCTACCTAACTTTCCTCCAAACTCAAGCCTTAATTTTTAACAAAGCCAGAGAACCTTTTATTGCAGAGGTTTTCAAACAGTTTCTTTGGCTCCACACGGCATTCTGGATCCTTGGGTTGTGCCTCAAAGAACTGAAAATGAACGGGGTCCAGCAAATGTCCAGAGGCCAGTGGCCTCATCTTCCCCCTTGTTGGATGGAAGGGTCAGGCAGCAACGAGCCCAGGTGTTCGTGAACAAGATGAATAAGAGGGCCTTGGCTGCCCACTTTTCTGTCACACTTTAGTTCCAACCCTCTCGTGGCTAGCCAGTCTGTGGGTTTGCTGTGGAGGGCCACAAGTGGTGGCATGCTGGTAGATTTCTCTGGGGCAGGGGACAGGGGCAGGAGTAGGGGAAGCCCTGATTCGCCTGTAGTGCRCCCTCCGTGGTTGATGTCAGGCTACCAGTGGACGCCACTGAACAGAATTGGGAAGCGATGTGTGAACAGGCTTCTGCACACAGCCTGCCAGGAACAAGACCCATCCCTGATTCTGGGTGTTCTGGTTCTTGGGAGGAGGCAGACTTCAGAACTCTGGGAACTAACTGGTCCCAGGGCTGCTGGGAAAGAGCTGTGGTATAATCCTGGCCATTGTGGGGTCTGGAAAGGACTGARGTGTGGTGACTGTTTGGGAAGGAAAGACCTGATTGCTTTGTATCCCGCCTCACCTTCCTCCCTGCCCCAGCAGCCCCTCTCCTTGCAGACCCAGTGCCYTCCCTGACCTCCATCCAGGTGCTGGAGAACTCGATGTCCATCACCTCCCAGTACTGCGCTCCACAGGGTGCCTGCAGGTGGGTGGTCTCCTCCCTTCACTCCAGGGGGCCCTTAGGTGACCCCAGGCTGTACAGATGCTCAGCTCTTGTGCCCTCAGGGAGGAACCTCCCTACAAGACAGGGAAGCCCCTTTCCAGGCTTCTGAAGGGTTCTGGGGTAGTCTGGGGTTTGAGGGCAGAGGCTTTGGCAGGATGGTCGTGGGCTGAGGTGCCATCTTTGCCCCTTCAGGCCTGGAAACTTCACCTACCACATTCCTGTCAGTAGCAGTACCCCACTCCACCTCAGCCTGACCCTGCAGATGAAGTGAGTACTGGAGAAGGGAGCAGAGGGATGGGAGGGGARCCAGAGGAAACCAGCAGAACCTCAGAGTGGCCAAAGCCAAGGCCAGCTCCAGCATCCATAACATTTTCCAGGTGGTGGTCCTAGGAAACATGGGGGAGGGAGGCTTTGTGGTTCAGCGGCTGGTGGGTGGGAAAGGTCTGTACCAGCACTAAGGTGGTATTGTTTCCAGGCCACGAGGTTCAGTGCTTGATCTGGGCTGGAGGGCTGGTTGGGAGGGCGCTGGAGTTGAGGACTCAGGAACCCCATTCCCTGCTAACTGGGCCTTTCCCCAGCTCCTCTTCCCCTGTGTCGGTGGTGCTGTGCAGCCTGATGACAAAGGAAAAGCCATGTGAGGAGGGGTCACTCCCGCAKATTCTCCCTACCCATCAGGACACCCAGGTAGGTGGCAGCTGGGAAGCTGTGGGCCAGCTGTACCCTGTTTTCTGGATAGTGGTCCCCAAACACTTGAGGAGAAGAAGCTGGAGCCAAAGTACAGGTGTCTACATAGGGACACCTCAGGGCCTGGGCCTCTGCCTCAGGAAGGGGGACATGCATGCAGGTCTTTATTCAATCCACTCCCTGCTGAGCAGCTCCATTCCTGTGGTGGCAATAGTCCTGGGGACAAAAACAGTTCTACAAGGACTAACCTGGGATGAATGCAATGATGGAGACAGGAGCCTTAATGTCCCGGGAGCCCATGGCAGGGAGGGCTGAGGGTCTCTGGGGAGGCAGAGTAGAGCCTGCAGAGGCGGGAAGGAGCAGTGTGGGGCAGTGGCAGGCAGACCTGCAGTGTTAGAAGAGCCCACTGCTCCAGGTGCAGGGCTACTTCCTGGTCTGGGAACTGAATGGCTGGGCCCTGTCACCATCCAGCTCTGAGGACCCGGGTACAACCTGCTCAGCTCTGCATAACCTGTAGCTGGTGGAACTCTAGTTTATCCTTGACCCAAGGCCATGGGAAGAGATTTAGGAGAGTTCTTGCCTACTCATGTGTTTACTCAGCAAATACTTGTTTGGGCCTCCTGTGTCTCAAGCCCTGTGCCCCCAACTGTGAGAGTGAGGGGAGGAGACGGGCTTCCCCTTCCAAKAATGTAATCTAGTGAGAGAAAGGACATGCAGAAAGGACCCTGGGTAGAGGAAGGGGTGGATGAAGGTCCCGGAGAGGCAAGAACACCCAAAAGAGAACACCCAGGTAGACATTCTTTAGACATGGGCTTAGGCCCCAACCTACACCACAGAGACCAGGCCAAAGCCTCAGGTGGGAGATGGGCAAGCTGCGTGTGGCTGATCACATGCCACCTTGGGAGAGTCAGCCAGACAGACCTGGACTTGAACCCCAGCTCTGCAACACTGTGCCACTTGTAGGCAAGTGACCCAGTTTCCTCATCTGTGAGCTGAGATAGCAGCAGCCCTGCATTTTGGCCAGGAGGACGCAGTGAGCACAGTAGGGAAGCAGGGGTCAGGGAGACACCTGGCGCAGTCTGTGGAGGGTAGCTGCGACTGTTCCCCAAGGCAGGACTGTTCCCTCCCATACCTCTTTGAAGCTCTCCACTTTTCTCCTTCATAGAACTTGGCCCAGATCCTGGGGCTGCCATGGCTACAGTGCAGAGATGCCAGTTGGGATGGCATCCCCTGATCCCTCTCCTTTCTCTCCAGGGCACCTCTCACCAGTGGCCCGTAACCATACTGTCCTTCCGTGAATTCACCTACCATTTCCGGGTGGCACTGCTGGTGAGCATGGGCACTCGCCTGCCCCTTGAGGTCCAGACACCTCTATGAAGCGCGGGGCTTAGGGAGGAATGGGAGCTTTGCAGAGCATGTGGTAGGACTTGGGCACAGTGTCAAGCATGTTGGCAGGGAGAGTGCTGCCTGCCCTGCACCCCAGGGTCATCTCACCTGTTCCCATTGCCTTTCTGCCCAGGGTCAGGCCAACTGCAGCTCGGAGGCCCTCATCCAGCCAGCCACAGACTACTACTTCCACTTCTACCGCCTGTGTGACTGAGCTGCCTCCTGGGGCAGTGCCACACCAGGGATTTGGGGTCCTTAGACCCCTTCCACACTGGGTGCAACGAATGGTGTTCCACCATTGGAGCCTGCTGCCTCCCAGCTCTCTGCCAATTCACTGGCCTCCCTGAGCCTGGGGAAACTGGAAGTCTTCGCACTGGAGCTGCTGTTCCTACTGGTCACCCTCACGTGGCATGGAGGGAGCCGGGGACAAGACTTCCTGGGCGTTCCTGCCTACCACCTCCTGGTGGCAGGATCCACATTTGTCCAGATGTGGTTCAGATACAGAGGCTGGTTTCAGGGGCCCTGCCTTGCCCAGAGCCCACTCTCCCCTGCCCCTCCCTTTTGAGACAGGGAGTTGCTGCTCTTGGAGACAGCTGTCAGGGGCTTGGATCCAGCCCTTCAAGATCTGACTGGACCCCAGGAGTCAATAGGACAGACGGATCTCCCCCTTGATGCTGCTCCCTGGGGGATAGCTTTGTAGTGGACTTTTTGGGGTATGACTGTTACACTGGACTTGGACTTCTAAGCTTTAAGTGTAGCCCAGGAGGTATTTCTTCCTGGGAGAGCTTGGCTGCCGAGAACTTCCTGGGCAGCTGAGGCCAGCCCTGGATGGGCTGGAGAGACTTGATTTTGTGCCTTAAATCTACTGAGTGCCTGAGGAAGCCACCCTCAGCCCTCCACAGTCTAAACCACTGGGGGCCAGCAGGCCAGATAAACCTGGAGTATCTGGAAGGGGAGGTTCCCTGTGAACCCYCACACCCTGTGATCCCGGGAACTTACACCGTGGTGTCAGTGACTCCATCCTCCCCCCCCCACACACACCCCAGCAGAGGAGCAGGAATCCCTGCAAGCATTGGGCTGGTGGGCAGATGCAAATAACTTTGGCTGTTATTAATGAAATAATTACTAAATGCACTTAAGCCAGGCCAGGAAGGAGTGGAAGGACGGAGCTAGAAAGTTCAGAGTGGGCCAGAGCCCTGGAGTGACACTTGCAAAGAAAGAGGGGTCCTGATTCTGATCCTTCCCAGGAGGCTCAGAGACACCCACCCCACTTCCAACCACCAAAWTTTGGCTTCTCCCCCAGTTTGTGGGTAGCTTTCTCTCCCCATATTAAAGGCGCCCTTGTTGTGCTTGGTCAAGATGGAGGTATCCATGCTCAGCAAACCCCATCTCTAGCTTCCTCTCCCAGGAGTGATATAGTGGGTTTGAGTTAAGGAAGATGTCAACTTCTCTTCATGGTGTCTGCAGCATTCTGGGGCCACATGCAGGCTCATGAAAGGAATGTGGCAGTCATTTGGCCATGTCTACCATTGTCCAGAAACAGGAAAGGGAACTGCCGYCCTTGCCCTGTGCAATTCCATCACTTCTTTGGAAACCAGGCCTTACCCCTATCCTACCTCTCAGCTCTGAACAGGAGGCCTTCCTGTTGGGGAACTGAGTTCTAGAAGCCAATGAACTGCAGACCCCCTTCTGCCATGGATCTAAAGCACTTATCCACAGGGTAGGGAAGCACTAGGGGACTCAGGGATTGCAGGATACCTTGCCTCCAACTCCCTCCCCAGTTTGGCTCTACTCCCTGATTCCAACATAGGAGCTATATAACTCCCCATGCCATGCCAGGGGTTGAGCCCTGCTTAGTTCTACTGGGTTCCTCTTCCCACAGGGGATACCTCCTTACWGTGCCTTAAAACTGCCAAGCCCACTCCTTGGGGCTTCTTGGGGGGGGGGGTTGTTCTTGTACTGCAGCACCAGTCCTTAACTGGAAAGTGACCCTCCACTGCCCCCTGGAGTCCGTCRGACATAGCATAGCCCCCAGTCCTACTGGCAGCTGGCCCGGTTTCCATGCCTGGAAGGAGTCCTCAGTGCCAGGGTGGGGGCTTGGGCTCCAAGCTGCTTGAGGGGGTCAACCTTGGACCAAAGCTACCTTAAGCCCAAGGTATAAAAGGGCTCCAAGGAAGGTGAGTGGGCCACCTGCCAGAGGCTGGCTGGCCCTCCCCAGGCTCCAGCAGGCCATCTCTCCCTTCCTCTCTCCTCTCTGGTATTTGTTCYTGTAGCCACTGGGCTATTCCCCTCTAGCTTCAAGCTGTACATATGGCCTCCCAGCGCAGAACCCCTGCCCACACCATTGCCCCTTAGCAGCCTGCATGTGCATAGAGCGTCCCCTCCCCAGTTAACTCCGAGTCCTATCCCTGGGCTCTGACTTATATTTATCATATACCCACTGACTGAGGTAGGCAGAGGGAAGCCACCCTAGGCCTGCTTGCTTCTTGTCCTCCAAACTGTCCTTTCTTCCAAATATACATATATAAATAAATGTATAAATACCGCTTTGTATCTGAGCTTGCCTCCTGTCTCTTCTTGAGGTGGTTGTGGTAGGAAAGGTTTTCRTGGGGGTTTAAGACCAGTTGAACTCAAAGTTCTTCCTGAGAAGCCTGGAATCTTTGGGCCTCCACGCCCCATGGCCAGATAAATGTTTTGTACTCATCACTGGCTTTGCCCTAGKGCTGAGATGACTCAGTGGCCTCTCCCCTGGCTGTATCTCCAGCCACTGTCTTTCTGGCCAGTTAGGGAAGTCTCCGGGGAACAAGCAGAGCCTGGCAAAAGCATTCCAGCCCAGAGAAGGGGGGCTATGTTTAGAGGAAGGGATTGGCCTAGGGCAGAATCAACTGGCTTGTACTAGAAATGACAGAAGAAGGTAGGCCTGGACCCTTCCTATCCACAAGGAAGCCTTAATTTCAATGACAATTCACCCCTGCCACACAGCCTTCACCCCATGGGTAGGAAGCAGGTTCCCAACAGCAGCAACCATGTGAAAGGCAGATGAGAGCTGGGAAAGGGTAGGATTGGGGACATCATGCAGGCCCCAGCACCACCCCTACCGCTACAGAATGGGCACAAGACAGGACTGTCACACATCTGCCTTTATTTGAGCAGTAGGTGGGACACTTCTAGCAACAGTAAAAAAATTAATTTACAAAAGCAGGGATTTAGTGAAGCCACCTGGCGGGTACCTGAAAGAGGAAAGGGCAGTCAAAACCAGACAATGACACTTCTTCCCACCTCCTGTCCCTAAAATCCCATCCTATGGCCCTAATCAAGATCTGATAAGTACTCTACCCCTTGGAGGATGGGACACCAGAGCCAATTCTCAGCAACTTGTTTGGTGGGTTATCTGTAGCAAGTTTTAAGTCTTAGATCCTCTCCAAGTCATTATAGTAATATAATAAAGTAATGCAAATGTAAAACTGTAGGAAGACTTTGCATGCTTCTATCTAATAAAACCCAAAGACAAATCAAGGCCTAGGGTATCGTGGAGAACTCAGATCAAAGTAGGTCACATTGGGCTCAAATTCCCATGAGTAGCAGAGAAAGAGGCATGTGTGCCCGGGTCCCTATCCATCCTAGCACATCTGTCTCCATGAACCACAGGGTCTTGCAGCAAGAGCCTGAGGACCCACTGATGTGGCTGTAGGAAGCTTTTCCAGGTTGTGCCTCAGAGACTTGAGTGTCCCACCTTGTCACAGCTCTTACCCTTGGGAGCTCACACGTAGATGCCRACCCAGAGAAGGAGGAAGAGGACTCCATAGCCCATAAAGAGTGAGGCCACCAAGGAGATGAGGAGCTCTTTGTAGATATCCCGTGTGTACTTGGTGGAGGTAACCTCGTAACTGGGCAGGGCTGTTAAGGAGAAGCGGTGATGGGTTGTGGGGTGCAGCGAATTGCCCAGCATCACTCTGGGCAGAAAGGTATGGGCTAAGGGCTTTCTGGCGTGGTGCAGCTAGGAAAAAGAGCCCAAGAGATGACTTGGACTCTGTTACTCCATACCATCCTTCCATCACCCATGAGGAAATGATACCTACAGGGGTTAGGTTACTTGTCGCAGTCACACAGCTCCTGAGTTGTGGAGCTGTGGCTAACCCTCACCCCTACTGCCACCCGAGCACACCCCTCCTTACACTACTTTTCCAGTCTCAGTTCCCCTATCTCCAGCATCCACTCCAGCCAGATCCTCAGCTCACTGACCTAGAAATCTGAAGAACCCCAGCTCACCAGAATTTGGAAAATAAGGCCACAATCTGCCCTTGGGCATCACCAACCTTTGTCCATTTCCAACCCCTATACACAAAACTAGCAGATACAGTTACCTAGGATGTTTTCTCCCTCAGTTTCTCACACCACCTATTCTGGCCCAATGGCTGTTTGGTCAAAGGATACACGAAGAACCAGGCGGTGAAGAACATGCCAATAGCCAGAAGCACCACAGTCAGATGGGGGAAGACAGCTGGATTTACTGGGCTGGTGTATCTGCTCATGGCCTCGAGCTCCTAGGGTAGACATGAGATCAGAGTTATTAAAGAATCCCATGATTTCTCCCTGGGGAGATGATGAAACAGCCTTGTGCTGCTGTGACTCCTAGAGGCCCACTCCAACTTTGGAAATGTGGAAATCCTTCAGAGCCAGTATCAAGTGATTCATTATGGGAAATACAATTATGACTACATCTTAAAACAGGTGGCATGTTCTCTTTTCAGTATGAGTCATGAAGAGCAGCTAGGAGTCAGAGGGCAAGAGGCAAAAGGAGATTAGGAACAGATCAACAGTCCTTAGCCAATGACCACTATGAAAATGGAATGAGATGTATGTAGACTACCTGGGAAAAACCTGTCTACTGGCTTCAAGCTACAGAGCCCCATGGTAAGTCAGGACTTAGACTGGGACCCWGATCTCAACTTCTAATTCAGCACTATTCTCACAACACTATCATGGAATCTCTGGACCTACCAGCACCTAAATAGTCTGAGTCTGCATGGTTATAATAATTATTTCACATGCTTGATTTATAATTTAAGATCTGAATGTTGAAGCATCCAGTGTAATGCCTGGCAAAAGGGTTTGCTCAGTTCCTTCCAAAGGTTGCGGAGGTCCATTATGAGATAATGCCTGTGAAAGAGGGCTGTAAAAGTACAAATGTTAACTTCCATTGTCCCCCACCAGCCAATGCTTCTAAAATCCAGAACACAACAACTCTAGAGAAATAAAATGATCCCATTGTTCTAAGAGACACTGGAATTCAATTCAGTAAAACAATTATGTCCCCCTCTGCTCTACCCCCCCCCCCAAAAAAAAGCGAGAAAGACAATCGCTGCCATTTATTGAGCCTCCAATTGAAGGCCTTGTGTTTGGCACTAGGAATACAAAGATGAATAGACATCATCCCAGAGCTAGATGCACGTCAGATGGTGGTCACTAAGAGGCGTGGCAGATAACAAAGAGGTCCACGAAAAGTGGCAAGAGGTCTGTATACAGGCTGTGGGCGTTCCCAGGGGATAGAGGCCAAGAGCCCGAGAGAGTCCCAAGTGTTTCGCCAAGAAATTACGTTTGCTTAGGATATTGTAGGATGAGTATGAGTTTGGCAGGCGGAAGAACTTTCCAGACAGAGATAACRGAGCCTCAAGCTCCACGTTAGTCCAAGTGCGCTCCACGCCCCTCGCCCTTCCAAACAGCAGGTCCGAAGCCCAGTGAGAGCTCCACCTCGCTAAGGAGTCCGCGGCGAGGCTTCCTTTCCCCGCCCCAGTTCAGGCCGGGGGCTCCGGCACGTCCCACCCTCCGGGTCTCGGGCGTCGGGTCTCCGCGAGAGAACGGAGTGTGGTCGGGCGCCCAGCCAACTCCCCTCGACCCTCTCACCATTTTGCCCCGCACACGGTAATCCGCCGCTCTGCCACCGGAAGAACACGTCGGCAGGCGCAGGCGCCCGGCTCGGCCGGAAGAGGCGGTGTCCCCGCGCACGTGGCATTGTGGGACTTGTAGTCCTGCGGGTTCGGGTGTTGGGTGAGCTGGGCCTGTGGGGGCCCGGAGTAAGTGGAGCGGGGACGGGTGGCAGAGAAGGGTAGGGTAGGATCTCTGACAGAGCCGGTTCTCTGCGACAGGACCGGGCGCTGTGGCAGCGGCGGCCTGAGGGGGCGGGGCCTGCACGACGCTTCCCAGAAGGCTGTGCGCGCCGGGCAGGTCACGTGACGGGAGCGCGGGCTTTGGAAGGCGGTGGGAGACGACCAGCAGCCGAGCTGAACAGCACCGGAGTTTGGGGCTGTCCTGGGCAATACCGGACCCAGCGCTAGCCGCCGAGGCCTCTCGTTCCAAAGGCCAGGTGAGACTCCAGGGGAAGCACTTCCGAGGACAACGGGGTCCGCCAGGTGCGGCGGGGACCCGGGGCCTGGCGCGCGCGGGGTGAGCAGTGCGGTCCCGCCACTTCCAGCCGCCAGGCTTGGGTGGTTCGCGTCATCACAGAGCCTCTCTTCTTCACTTGTAAGAGGAGGGTAATGACTTCCCCCGATGGGGTCGCAGTGAATTTTTACTAAGACCGATTAATGGAAACATTTATGAGACTTCACCGGTGTAGGCCCCTTCCTGCCTCCGTCGTTCTCGTGCCGCGAGAGAATAAACGGCTAGCAGGGCATTGCCCTCTTCGCGCGTACTCTGTCAAAGCTGCGAGGCACCAACCAGAGGATCGGATGGGGAACATTGTGGGGGGAGTTTTTCTACATCTGCTGTCTCAGTTCGCCTTGGCAGGAATCCTGCAAGGCATTTTTACCATTCTTCTTCTACAGATGAGAAAATCAAATTTAAATGACTTAATGTTACTGAGATGGTAACTAGTGTCCCTAGAAAGCCATCCTAACCTTCCCAGACTGTAAAGATAGGCTGGGAACCAGCATGTGAAGGATTCTGATGCCATGCTGAGGTGTTTGCAATTAACTAGAGGGAAGAATGTAATGGAATCAGTTACGCCTGGAAAAGAACCCTGGGAGGGAATGTGAGAACAATTGGAAGGTCTAGTAGACGATTTCTTAGAGTTAGGACACATGCCATCCTTGGGGTACAAGATGATTTATGTTGCACGTTTAAAAAAATCCTTTTTGATAAGTTATGTTTAAAATATTAAAATGTAACTGATGTAATACAGATAATGTGGCTTATGTGAGTTCTCTTTTTCAACTTATTTTAGTTTTTTAAACTATTCGAGACACTATTAAGTGAATACTTGGAAGTGTCAGAAATTGTGAGGATCAAGAAGGAATTCAGGATCATTGCCCTAGGAAATATTTTTTAATGTTAATTTTTTAGTTATAGATGGACACAATATCTTATTTTATGTGGTGCTGAGGATTGAACCCAGTGGCTCACACATGCTAGGTGAGTGCTCTACCTCTGAGCCACAATCCCAGCCCCCTAGGAAAGATTTGAACCACAGAARTCCAGTACTGGGCCTATTGACTACAGCCTGCTAGTCTCTAACTTAGGCCCTGGGGTAGGTAAGAGCCACGGAGTTTACATTTTAGACTTAGTGGTAGAGCGAAAATATAAAGGGGAAGTCTTAAGCTCCCAGCAACATCCTGAAAAAAGTAGAAACTCTTGCTGTGCACAGTGGCACATGCCTGTAATGCAAGTGGCTTGTGGGTTCAAAGCCAATCTCAACAATTTTAGCAAGGCCCTAAGCAACATAGATCCTGTCTCAAAATAGATATAAAAGAGGCTGGGGTGTGGCTCAGAGGTTAAGCATCCCTGGCTTCAGTTCCCAGTAGCAAAAACAAACGAAAAAGTTAGAAACTTACATACTAAAGGGGATGCAGAAGGAAAATTAAATTAAAGCAGCATGTTAGTTGTTCACCTTACCCCCCCATTCAGTTATGTTTTGCTTGCCAGTGTTTCAAGAGTGCTTTATTAGAATTCTCCAGAGAAGCAACAATTCAGGTATAAGATATATTTGCTTAGCAGATATTTGCCTGTTCTTTAGGGCTCAGTTCTGCCATTCTGGATTCCTCACTCTGAGCCAAGTGCTGTCCTCAGGCCTTCCATGGTCCTTGTTGAAACATATGTTTTGGTCTTTTTTGGGGGGGGGGGGTGATGAATTATACCATTCCCTTATCCACAAAACTTTTTAGTCCCTCAAGAACATCCACCGTATCTGAGTTCCTGTAAATAAGACTTAGTATTAATTGAATGAACTGTAAATTGAATGAACTGCTAAACTGTACATTTTTTGAGAACGAAGGAATCATGTCTTACTCATTTCATCTTCTGTTGTGCTGACTTGGTTTCCGTACTTTGTGCTAGATTTGATTAGATATGATATTGGTGAGATAGCACCAATGATAACCCTTTGCATCCTTAAGGTTTCTCTTTCTCTTAATTCTTTTTAGCCACCTCTCCTCCATATTGCCATGGGAATTCAAGGCCTGGCCAAACTAATTGCTGATGTGGCCCCCAGTGCCATCCGGGAGAATGACATCAAGAGCTACTTTGGCCGAAAGGTGGCCATTGATGCCTCCATGAGCATTTATCAGTTCCTGATTGCAGTTCGCCAGGGTGGGGATGTGCTACAGAATGAAGAAGGTGAGACCACCAGTCACCTGATGGGCATGTTCTACCGCACCATCCGCATGATGGAGAATGGCATCAAGCCTGTGTATGTCTTTGATGGGAAACCGCCACAGCTCAAGTCGGGTGAGCTGGCCAAACGCAGTGAGCGGCGTGCTGAGGCAGAGAAGCAGCTACAGCAGGCTCAGGCTGCTGGGGTGGAGGAAGAGGTGGAAAAATTCACCAAGCGGCTAGTGAAGGTCACTAAGCAGCACAACGATGAGTGCAAACACCTGCTGAGCCTCATGGGCATCCCGTTCCTTGATGCACCCAGCGAGGCAGAGGCCAGCTGTGCTGCCCTGGTGAAAGCTGGCAAAGTCTATGCTGCAGCCACCGAGGACATGGACTGCCTTACCTTCGGCAGCCCTGTGCTGATGCGACATCTGACAGCCAGTGAGGCCAAGAAACTGCCCATCCAGGAGTTCCACCTGAGCCGGATTCTGCAGGAGCTGGGTCTGAACCAGGAGCAGTTTGTGGATCTTTGCATTCTCCTGGGCAGTGACTACTGTGAGAGTATCCGGGGCATTGGGCCCAAGCGGGCTGTGGACCTCATCCAGAAGCACAAAAGCATCGAGGAGATCGTGCGGCGACTTGACCCCAATAAGTACCCTGTGCCAGAAAATTGGCTGCACAAGGAGGCCCAGCAGCTCTTCCTGGAGCCGGAGGTGCTGGACCCAGAGTCTGTGGAGCTGAAGTGGAGTGAGCCAAATGAAGAGGAGCTCGTCAAGTTCATGTGTGGTGAAAAGCAGTTCTCTGAGGAGCGAATCCGCAGTGGGGTCAAGCGACTGAGTAAGAGCCGCCAAGGCAGCACGCAGGGCCGTCTGGATGATTTCTTTAAGGTGACTGGCTCTCTGTCCTCAGCCAAGCGCAAGGAGCCAGAACCCAAGGGATCCGCTAAGAAGAAGGCAAAGACTGGGGTAGCAGGGAAGTTCAAGAGGGGAAAATAAATGTGCTTCACTCCATTGTTCCTTCTTGATCCTGAATATTTGCCCTTACCCTCAAGCTAGAGCTAGAGAAACCTCAGCGGGGCTGGGAGGGATGCATTGTTATTCTAGTGCTACCTTTCTCTGTAGGCTTTTTCCCTTTTTTACTTGATCTTATGGCAGGTGGGCCACAGAAGTGCTTTGTTTTCTCTTTTTTAGCTCAGGAAAGTGTCAGGCTCAAACCACTTCTCAGGCAGTTTACTGGACACTGGATCCATTGTTACATGAAAGTGATAGCAACGAGTTTGAAGGAGGAAGACAGAGATGAAARTGGCGAACCAAACTGCATGGAAATGATTTCCTGGCTGGCCAACTGGGGCTTATGGGGCTGATCCAGACTGTACGTCCTGATTCAGCCTTGACCCACCCTGAAGAAGAGCCATCAGGAAGATCCAAGTTCAGCAGATGGAAGAGCTACTGAGAAAAAAGAATGAGAAGCAGGAGTACCTGCACTTTGGCAGGAAGGGTTTGATTCCTGGCTGTGTCTTGTGGTGGGCAGAAATTTTAAATTGCAATGTATTACAGTGGTTTTTCAGAGGAGTAAGATGATGATATTCTTTTGGCCTTTCTGGGGCAACAACAGAATTGAGATTTTTGGGATAAGTCACTGGTTTTCGTGTGCTGTTTTTATTTTTAAAATATGAAGAGAAAAAAAGTCAATAAAATTGTGTAGGTATCCAGAATGTGATGTTGAGAACATTTGAAAATATCCAGCGCTCCATGCTCCAGGTAGACTATAATGTCCTTTGCACTCTAAGATGTTTTGCAAGTGGCCACAAGAGGGCACCATGTGCAGTATAATGGCCAGCAGCTCAGATGCCTAGCTTATTTTGCTGGGAAAGTTGTTTTAATAAATTGAATGAATTTCTGATGTTCCACCTAGTCTGTGAGATAAAGGAGCTCCTTTGAGAAAGCCTTGCAGTTTAGATCAACTACCTCATAACAACCAAGTATTTACTTTGCCAGATTGTAGATTATGAGGGCTGCCATTCAGAAACCACTTTCTTCTTCCTTTATGACATCAAATTCAAGTTGCTCTTTTCTTATAGAGTTGAATGTTTGAAAGTTTTATAATCCTGGTAGTGCTTGGGGAGAGCTAGCCTGTTGAGCTTCTGATCTTTTTAACATTCCTATCAAGGCCATTTGAAGTTAACAAGAACATGTAAGTAACTGAAATTTAAATTGAAAATATTTGACAGATTAGATAGGTAGAAGACTAAATACTGTTTTTTCAAATTTCTAATGGAACAAACTATATTCCAAGCAAAAATCTTAAGTGAAATCTCAGGATATAAGAGCTCCTCTGATTGAGTCAGGTAAGAGACAGTGTCCCCAGCAATGGCTCCATAACAAGGGAACTCTCTGAAAACCACTGATGTAGAAACTTGTGAGGACAGGGAATTTAGTTTTGTTCGCTGCTCTACTCCAGTATTTGATGAATGAAACTCATTTTCCCAGATTGAACCAAGCCATGAYTTACTGGAGCTCCACTTTAAGTCAGGTAATTTGATTTGAAACTTGCAGTCACGCTGTTGGGGCCTAGAGGTGCTAAAGCTTCTTAGGACTGATCATCTCTGCAGCATTTCTACTTATGGACTATTTCCTGTGGAGGTCAAATACATGRTGGTAGGCTTTCCTTGTTTGATTTTGGAGATGGAACCCAGGGGCACTCTACCACTGAACTACATCCTATCCTTTTTTTAATTTTTTGAGACAGGTCTTGCTAAATTGTTGAGCCTGACCTCAACTTTTGATCCTCCCTTCTAGCTATTTACCATGCCATGCACCACCACACCTGGCTTGTGCTTGTTTTTTTAATTTGTTGCTTGGTCTTTTCTAGAAGTTCATAAATCTAATTTTGCATTGGCACGCTACAGGGAAAAATCTTTCATCTGCAGACATTTTTGCTTAGAACTGTTTCAGTAGGATGAAGGGTGCAGATGTTGCCCTGTTGTCCAGGTCTGAGGTATTGTGCTTGCAAAGATGTAGGCACTAAAACAAAGTGAAGGGTTAAATGACTCAAAATGGAAAACTAGAGAACAGTAGGGTGTAGACATTGTCTCATGAGGTGGAAGTGATGTAGACAACCGGGCAGGGCCTCTGCATATGGGAAAGAATTGGCCTTGCTTTTCCTTGCCATGGACCACCCTGCCTGCTTATTACTTGGAGAGTCCTGATGCTCCTTCCTGTTCCCTAGAGGATTATACAGAGGGAGTCTGCAGTGACTCATGTTCCAAAAGTTAAGAGGACACAGGTGTACCGTCACCAGGGAATCCTGTGCACACACATAGACAAGTACTGTGGGTTATAATGAATAGCCTTCATTTGGTCAAAATCAACTTTATTTTTCAGTTTTACTTCATTAATTACTGTGGTAACATTGGCATACAAAAAGATACTGACACTGAGCCCAATTAAAATGCCCCCAGCCTGTAGTAGAACGATAAAAATAACAAAAAGATAAACATAAGAGTTGGAGTTTGAAAAAGTGAGTTCACATATTCTACCATGATCTGTGACCAGAGGCAACCTTTCCTCTGTAAGCCTGTTTTCTCATCTGTCAGTGGGGTTTGAGGTCACTTGCTTTAATACTATAACATTGTATCTTTTACCACCCTGTGTCCCCATGAGGCCACAATGGTATGGGCTGAGAGAAGGCCATGGTGGTACAGGTGCTTTGAGGACCTGGTCTTGGCATAATAAAGTTCACTGGTATTTGCTCAGACTGGCTAGATAGTCTGTGATATCACACCCATACCTCAAGTGGCAGGGATCAGGAATGGGGAGGGATCAGCACCTATTCTGGAGTGAGGGAGCCATTGAAAGTCAACTCTTCCATTCTGCTTCTGATTTTCCTGCCCAGGATTTAAACCAGGTTCTCAGGGCCCAAAGGGAAAGGCCTGAACCCCTGTGACCTGCTGTCCCCAGCACCTGACAAACCTAAGTAGCCCTGCCAACCTCGMCACCCTCATCTCAGCTGTCTGCCACACTTTCCAAAACCAGATGTGGGCTCTGCTCTTGCCCTTACGTTTGAGATTCTCTTCTCCCAGTGTCCAAATGGTCCATACACTTTAGGTAGATGCTGTTGAAGAGCTAAAGAAATTATGTCCTGGCTGGACTGTGGGATCTAGACCAAGCTCAGCACTGAGGGAAACTTCAGAGAGAACGAGGGCCTGACTGGCCACAGGCTTGGGGAGGAAGAGGGTGTGAGTGCTGGCGACAGGCCTTCAGCAAGACTCCTTGGGCATGTTCCTATGTTTGTTCTCTGGAAACATGAGTTAAACTGTCTCACAAACCAGAAGATCAAAAAATGGCATATCAGCGTTAGACTGATGGGCTTCCTAAGAGGTATTCCTAAATCCCTATCTGGTCTCCAGATGAATAAGGGCGGAGGAAGTGCCTAGCTGCAGCAATGATGACCACAAAATTGTGTATTTCCAACTTTCCTATTTTGGATTTAGAACTGAAGTGATTAGTGTAACCCATTACTCCTGCTAGAAAATGCTGTTACATAATTTAGGGTATAGAAAATCTGTTTCTACTTACAGCCCTTAGACTCTTCATGACTGAAACTTCATAATCACTTGGGCWCACCAATTGCTATTAAACTTGGAACTACAAGTAGTGAAACAAAGGGAAGCCGCTGGGAGCCCCATTTATTTCTAGGGAGAARGAAGTCAGGCCTTTGCTTGCTGGCTAACAACAAGAAGCAAGCCCCTAGTCTTGGGAGTTCTGTTTTTTCCTTGGGGTGGGAGGATTAGAAGTGAATCAAAAAGAAGTGATTTTTGATGGCCAGCAACTCTCTACCTAATGTTCCCTCTGGACCTTGAATAGAACATGGGACCAAAACCAGTGGCCCCAAGATCCTTCAGGGCCAAATGTCACTAAAGCCACAATCTTGGCCTTGGCTGCTTTTGAAACTGCAAAACAGTCTCTCCCCACAGCAAGGGCAGATGTGGAAGCTGAACTCCATGGCAGGCAGTTTGTGCTAAGCCCCAGGATTCTGTGCATGAATGCTTCCCTTCTAGATCTTTCTCAAAGTGGTCAGCTGCTCCCTCCCAGAGGTTAGCAAGCGACATCACTGACAAGTGGACCAGGGAGTGTGCTGCTGCCTGATGTGGGCTCACCCTGTGTTCTCCAATGTTCATCTGCCAAAGTAGAAAAATGAAACAAGAACTGATTCACATTCTGGCTCTAACAGCTCCTCCCCTTCTGGGGACTTGCTTGTCCCCACACCCTTCTTAGGGGATTAGATGTGTATCTGGAAGGTAAAGGGGAAAGTTGGAGCCTGACTTTTATGTCCCCTAACCCTCCCCGCTCTGAACGTTGGAATGTAGTGGCATCTTCCCTTGAGCTCCCCTCTGCTTTGGCTCCAGAGTCACCCTCTCCTCTTGCAGATGGAGCAGGGAGGCGCTGTCCTTACTGGTGAAGGTAGGCATCCAGCCAGAGCTGCCCAGACTCCTTCAGTGAGCTGCAGGGTGACACAGAGTGGACAGTGAGGGAGATGGGCCAGTGAGCCAAGCAGAGATGGAGGGGCAGGTCTTACAGACAGGTCTTTCCGCCCTTCTGCTTCTGAGGAAGCTGGCCTGGGCACAGCGCTGAGGGGAACTCCAGTGAGAATAAGGGCCTGACCTAGCCACACAGTGCCCTGCCTGTGCCGTGGTGACCTCCTCTATCCCAGGTGACAGGGGAATGTTCCCATTGCTCGCCACCCCACAGGGCACCACCATTCCCACTGCCCTGCCCTCCCCACCCAACAGCCAACCCCCAGGGCTCAGATACTCACTAGACAATGTCGGCAAAGGCTGAGAGCAGGGGCTTGGACTGGTACTCTATACCGTGCTTGGCACACAGCGACTGCACCAGGGGTGCCACTTTGTGGTAGTTGTGTCGGGGCATCGTGGGGAAAAGGCTTCAGGGAGAGTGGGAAAGTCAGTGGCTTCTGCTCCTTCCTGTTGTCGTCGCTGCCCCCTACCCCCACCCCAGGTCCTTCCCGCCCTGCTTCCTGGGGCTCCTGACTCACTGGTGCTCGATCTGGAAGTTGAGGTGCCCGCTGAACCAGTCGTTGAAGGCAGACTTGTGGACATTGCATGTTGCCTGGAGCTGGAGGAGGAGGTCGGGAGCATGTCTACAGCCAAAAGGCCAGCCCACTGCACCCCAGGTCAGGGTAGCTAAAGAGGGCAGGTTAGACTGTCCCTGGTCCCTCCCTTCACATTACAGCAGGAGAGACGCCTCAAGCGAATGAGCAGGGGTACCTTGGGGGACTTATTTTTTGCTGTTACCATCTTCCCTCCACCCTTTTCATGAGTTGTTATGCCTGGGTCTTCCAGATGATGGTCTCTTACCTGGGTGGACACCCAGTCCATGTTCCGGTCGTGATCAATGTGCATGGGGATGTGGTTCATCTGTGTGACCCACACAAACCAGTTGCTCTCCAGGAACCTGTTGGATGTGGCACACAGACAGTCAGTAGAGCCCAGTCTTGCTCTTCCTCAGTCACGGTGCCAGCTTGTGCACTGTCCCAGGTCAACTCCTGAAAGAGCTCCTGCTGCCCGAGGTCCCCAGGGCGGTCCGCAGACCCAGCATTTGTGCTTCCCTGTGCCAGTCCCTACACCCCACCACACTACCTGACGATGAAGAAAAGGCCCAGGAATCCTTTCAGCCCCAGCAGCGGCACGTACGAGAGGAAGATGCGGGTGTAGAAGGTGACCATCCAGGCCAGGTCCTGCAGTGTGAATGGCAGAGCAGCGCTGCCACGGCCGCTCTGGCTCCCCTCCCAGCTYCCCTCCTCCGCCTGCTGCGGCCTCAGCCATCAGGGGAACCTGGCCGTCCTCAGCTTTTCCTCTCAGTGGCCCCACCCTACACAATTAGTGCCAGTGCTGGTAGCACTCCCAGCCCTTCTAGCCTGTCCCTTCTCAGGGCCCCACAAGTCTCCCTGCCTCTAGCACCTCCCAACCTACCTAAATGCTGCCAAATGAAATTTCCAGGACCAGGGTTCTGTGCACCCCAGTGCCCTGGTCAAAGCTCCTGCCCTTTTCTGCACAGTGAACCAAGCCCAGTACTCCTCCCTGGTGCTGGAGTCCTCCGCTACGCCTGGCCAAACTCACCCTTACCTCCCAGCTTCTGCACTCTGGTCTTCATCCCCTGCCTCACCTCTGCCTGCCAACTCCACCCATCGGTGGAGGCCAGCTAGAAAGGTGGCTTTACAAAGCAGACACAGCCAGGCCTTGTGGAGTGCCCAGAGCTTCTTTTGCCTGTACTTCTTTCCTGGTATCAGTCATACCCTGCCTCACTGAAGGTTCCCTGAGAGGAAGGACTGTCTCCCATCGCCTCCCCCAGCACAGGGGCCTGGGGGCACACTGGCTGCATGAAGCCAGGCCCAGGAGGCAGGGGTCCTGCTGAGTGCGCCCAGATCACTTCCTCTGTCTAGGGGCAGGGAGCATCATACCTTGTCCTATTACTTTGTTCTAAGTTGGGCCTGGAGTTTATTTCCCCTGGAGAACCCCTTTCCCCCACCAGGTGCTGGAGAACACAGGACATGGGGCTCTTGGCCGTGGATACTTACCACCCACTTCTTCCGCTGGATAACAAAATAGAAAATATACCACTGGAAGTAGAGTGGCAGCAAGGCCGGGGGCCCGACTGGGAGGAAAAAGACAGGAAGGAAGTGTGAGCCGTTTATTAAGAAATGGTCCCCAGCACGGGGCTGCCCCTGCCCGACCCCTCAGGTTGCTCCTCCAGCTGCCTTAGCACTGCTCGGCTGGCCCCACACCAGCAGGCACTGAAGGAAGGTAGGCACGAATGCCCATCTGGAGAAGGCCACTCCCAAAAGGAGGCCAGGGAAGGTGAGGGGTAGAAGGGCCATCTTTTTCCAGGGGAGAAACTCAAAACCCAGGCCCAGAACATGCTGTGCTCCCACACCTTTTAAAGGGCACTGCAATACCCCCAGTGCCCCTGTGCTGCTTGGCCAAGCCCTGCACCCACAGTCATCTGCCAAGTTCTTGGTTGCTCCACTGTGCGCGTCAAGGGAAGGGGCAGGGACAGGAAAATGTGCATGTGTGCACACGCATGTGATGCTCTGACCCTTCATAGGCCGAGGTTCACTTCCTTGGACTAGCGACCTGGGTTGTGCTGCCCTGATCTGAAGCCCTGGAGGTCAACTACAGGCAGAGGCAAGGAGCTATTTTTGAAAGAAAATTGGCAGTTGCAGAAGTGGTTCCCATCCTATGCACTGCCCCATTCCCTTCCCGTGTCCCCTCCCTGCAGCATCTGATGCTGCTCTAACCCCTGCGTCGCATGCCCATCCAGGACTCCTTGATGTGCCTTGGATTTTGAAATTCCTTCTCCCAAGAGTCCGCTGCACCTCCTTTCTCTGCTAGGGACAGTTGCTAACAGGCAATCAGGATAAATGCCTTCACACTGATCCCTGCCCACCCTCCCTTTAAAATTCTGAAAATTCAAAGGAGTTTTAAGGCTCATTATTTGGGGCCATCTGGAACAGACTTTCAAACGCAGCAGCTCTAGAGAGTATGCAGCCACAGCATCTTTGCTCAGCTCACAGTCCTCCTYGGATCCCATCCTCCCACAACTATGTAGACATTTGGTCCCCAATGGGTCAGACAGGGCCCCATCAGATCATCTTGACCTGGGTCCTGTTTGACAAGGTTTAAGGTGAGGTTTAAAGCTCATCTGGAGGGCTGAAACTGACCACTAGGTGTCCTCATGGAAAGAGCTAATCTGCCCCCAACACAAATGACCTCTAGTCAAATATTGTTAGCCTGCTGACTCTGCTCAGTGGAAGGGCAACAGTTCCAGGCAGGGAGTGACAGGGTGGGTACTTGCTCCAGCCCCTTTTCTGGATTGTATTCTTTTTTTKGGGGGGTGGGTGCTGGGGATTAAACTTGGAGCCTTGTGCATGTAAGGCAAGCACTCTACCAGCTGAGCTGTATCCCCAGCCCCTTTCCTTAACTTTAATACTTTAATGCCATCATCGAGAGCCGTTTCCTCCTCACACCCCACAGCAGCCCCCCCACCCAAGGCAGCTCCCCGTGGTGGGTGAAGACACTCACTCAGGAAGAAGTATTTGTGCTGGTGGTTGTATGGCATGTACTTTTTCTTTTGTTTCCCAAGCTGTAATGAAAAGTGAACATAATTTAGCAGTAACCAGTTACAGACCAGCCACCCAGTTCCCTCCCTTCCCTGCTCAAAAGCTGAACCCACCGCACGGGTCATCAGCCTCTTGGTGCTACTGGAAGGCCCCAGGAGGCCCAGCTTTACCTCCAGCAGCTGGAGTGAGAGGCCTTGGCTGCAGCCTGCAGTGTGTGGTGACATGACCCACAGCTCAATGGCCTGTGCCCCATGAGGATGTGTGTAATGCAGGTTCTGTCAAACCTCAGGACTTCTAAGATTCATCCAAAAATGTCTTTGTCATGAATTTGTTCAGGCCCCATCATTGCCTTTCCTGTCTCCCACCTRGTACTCTTTGGACATCTGAGTCTCCATGGAAAACTCCTGTATAGGCAGCTACTCCCTCTATGTTCAGCCTCTAGTCCCCCATCAAAATCTTTTGGTTGCTTGATTTCAACACRAACTTTATAAAATTACTTGAAAGTTTTTTGTTGTTATTGTTGGTCTTTTTGGTGCTAGAGATCCGAATCCAGGGCCTGTGCATGCAAGGCAAGCACTCTACCAACTGAGCTATATCCCATCCCTTGAAAATTAAGCAAGGTTTGGCAAGTATGTGTGGAAAGGATACCAAGAACAACTCCGCAGTTTGAAGGTTCTGGCAAAGTTCTTCCTTGTGGGTGGTGGTTATTTAACAAGCCTAGCTGCTACAAAGACAGGCTGTGCTGCCAGCTCAGTCAGAAAGCCCAGGGCTCCGGTGTCTGCTCTGCTGTCACTCCACAGCTCCTGCATTTCTTGCCCAATTAGTCCTGGTGACTAGACAACCCCAAGGGCACAGGAGAAGCAGAAGTCTGGCTCATCTTCTCATGCGTCCCCCCACTGCATCCTCTACTCACTGAGCTTACTCTGTGCAAGGCACTTTAGCTAGACRAAGCATTCTGTCTGCATTCACAGATTTGTTCAGTAAGTACTGGAGTACCTAGCTGTGCCAGTCACTGTTAGGGAGCAGAGGCCACCAGTATGAAGTTCCTACCTGTATGGAGCTATAACCCGAGAAGAAGCTGGTAACAKATTGGTAAACAGCTCTAAAAAATTTACAGATTATAAACAGAAAAACAGGGACAACAGGCAGTGATCTGGCAAAGGTAGTCAAAAGGCTTTCTCAGGTCTTCCCTGAATGAGAAGGGCTAGCAATGCAAAGCTTCAGGGCAAGAACACTGAAAGAAGGGACAGCCAGCACAAAGGCTTGGGATGCTCAGGATCATGAAACTAGGGAGAGGTCAGATCGTGTGGGACCTCAGAAAGCTCTGGTAAGGTCAAGATAGGTGCACAATCTGCTTTGTACTTTTAAAAAGCTTACTCTGTCCCAACATCACCAAAAAACTAAGGCTTACTCTGGCTGGAGTGAATTATAGGGCACAGTCACAAGTGAGGAGGCTGAAGCTAATCCAGACCAGAGAGAGACCTGATGGGTATGTGGTCTGACATGGTTTGCTTTCTAAGGGTTCCTGTGTTRGAGGCTTGGTCCCCAATGTGGTGATGTTGGGAGGTAGTGGGGCCTTTAAGAGGTGCCTAACGGGATTTTACTACATAACTGGGGTTTCACCCTCAGAAGAGACTAATGTGATTCTTGTGGGACCCTATTTAGTTCCCCCTTGAGACTGGGATGTTAAAAAAGRGCAAGATTGGCCTCTCCCTGATCTCTGGCTTTTCTTACCATGTGATTACTCTCACAGGCCCTCCTGCCACCATGACAATATCTGCCATGAGGCACTTACCAGAGGTCAAAATGATAAAGCAGCCCAATCTTAGACTTTCAGTGTCTAAAATTATAAAATAAACCTCTTATTTATTTATAAAGCACMTAGCCTCAGACATTTTGTTACAGCAATTAGAAAATGAACTAATGAATGGCAGTGGATATAGAAAACTTGATGGAATTTGGATTTATTTTGGAAGCAGTGTCAACAAGGTTTGYTGATAAACTAGATGTGGTGGTGAGGGATGTTCCCTCTCAAGCAACATTAACTGAAAGGGGAAACCTGGAAGAGTCACCTCTATTGGTTGGTGGGGTGGATGGGGAATGCAAAGGAGCCCCATCCATTGCTCTCTTTGGATGGGAATCAAATGCCATTATGGTCCCCAAAACTTTGTCCCACCATGTTAAGCCCCTCAGAGGTCAGAAGGGTTCTGTTAGGGGCAAAGTGTCCCTTCTTACTCTTTCTCCTCCAGGAGAGTTGGGAGGCCTAGGGCAGATGTCACAGAATTAGCCAGGGCCCCACTGTTCAGTTAAGCCATCCCCAAAGGGACTGAATCGAGCCCCACGTGGCCTCAGCACAGGCGTTCACTACAGGCGACCCAGCCTCAGCCTCCTGGCTAGAAGGAAGGAAACAATGGAAGCTCGTTTTGGTTCCCAAGTTACTCTCTGTTTTGGATGTCTGCAGATAAGCCCAGCCAGCGCTGTTCCTAAAAATCCACCACCATGTTAGCTTCCTGTCACTGTACCCAGATCCCAAGGTCAACGACTTAAAAGAGAGAGGATTTTTTTGGCTCATGGTTTCCGAAGTTTCAGTCTCTGGGCCTGTGGTGAGGCAGATCATGGAGGCAGGGTATGACACACCACCAACAACCAGGAAGCAGACAGGGGAAGGGACTGKGGTCTTAATACACCCTTCAATGACCTTTCTCCAACTAGGYCCCACTTCCTAGCGTCTCCATTAGCTCCAAGTACTGCCATGAGCTGGGCACCAAATCTTCAACAAGGGAGCCTTTGGGGACATTTAAGATCCAAACCGTAGCACCCACACTACTCTCAAAGCAGCCACCAGAGCCAGGGCAAGCTCGTCACCCGCACAGTGCTGATCCTAACACAGTGCTGGAGGCCCAACGAACCATGGACATGGAAAATAAGAACCTTAGGGACAGCAGGGWCATGGGCCTCCAGTTAAGAGCGCCTCAAAATAGGATGGCCAGTGCTGCCAAAGTCCTCCCAGAGTTCTTCTCACGACCAGAGGGGAAAGGAGAGCCAGCTACCTTGAACTCTTGCCTGGAACTGAAACACATTCAATGACAATACAATCCCTGACAAGATGAAATGTCATTAAGTGGGTGAAGGGGACCTGGCAGAACTCTAACTATAGCATGGAACCTGGGGACAAAGGATTTTAAATTAACTTTTCAAGAAATTCTGCTGGCCATTCAGAACCTTCTACTGCTTATGCTCACTGAGAGTTCACCAAACTTCCAGCCCCAGGCATTCTTCCTTCAACAGCTTGGGATTCTTGCTCCCACCTCAGATAACGACTCAGGCCCAGTGCTGCCCACCCTGGAAGTCAGGCTGGAATCAAGAAGGTGGCAATTAGTTGCCCCTTGGTTTCAACAGTGAATTGGCTCCAAGATCCCCCACAGATACCAAAATCTGCAGTTGCTCAAGTGCCTTATCTAAAGTGGCATTTGCAAATAACTATAGTCCTGTGAGCCTGGCAAAATGGGCTTTGGTGCTGAGGGCCATTGCCAAGTAGGAATGACGCATCGAAATTTCCTTGCCAGCATACCCCATGTTAAATGGAAATTTGCTGTGACATTGCATGTGTCTTTGAGAAAGGTGACCCTGCTCAAGGACCAGGGTGGATCCAGGTTTAAGGTGTATCCTGCAGGTTTTAGGAAGTATCCCGGTTTAAGATAATCTGGGTTTAAGGCGTTCCCGGTTTAAGACAATCTGGGTTTAGGGAAGTTCCAGGTTTAAGGTTATTGCTGCTGGGTATAGGGCGTTCCTGCTGCCTGAGTTCCTGTTGAGTTCTCGTGGAATTGAGAAAGTATTTGGGACGTGAATTGTGCGGGCAGAACTTGGATTTCCCGAGAACGTRTGTAGAAGCCGGTGTGAGTTCGGGAATAAAGAATTGCTGTTTGAATCTACAAAGCTGTGAGTGGCTCCAGATTTTGTGCCCAGCCAAGACATTGGCACTTTGGTATTTATTTTTAACCCAGGGCTTTGTGCATGCTCTACCAGTGAGTTACACCCCCAGCCCCTTCTCAGTAAAAAAAAAAAAAAACAACAAAATAACCTCCTATCCCAAGTACTGGGGATTGAACTCAGGGGCTTTTTACCATTGAACTACATCACTAGTCCTTTTTCTTTTGAGACGGGATCTTGCTAAATTGCCAAGGCTCCTCCTGCCTCAGCTTCTGAGTTGCTGGGATTATAGGCATGCACCAACAAGTCTCTCATGGGAAACTAAATTCTCTAAWTTACTTATAATACCTAATACTATGTAAATACTACAAAAACAGCTGTTTTACTGTTCTGTTTAGGAAATGATTTTTTTTTWAAAGTGTACATGTTCAAGTCACGGACACCATTTTCTCTTTTCTGTTTCTTTTTTCCTTCTGTAGTGCTGGAGATGGAACCCAGGACCTTGTGCGTGCTAAGCAAGCACTCTACCTCTGAGCTACATTCCTAGCCATTAAATTTTCTTTTCTGAATATTTTTGATCTGTGGTTGCTTGCACCTTCAGATGCAGAGTTCAAGGATACTGGCAGCCAAATGTACTGAATGCATGGATATTTCAGGTACTAGGCATTAAAAGAGTAGATAGTCCATCCCTGGACTGGGGAAAACTGGGACAGTGCAGGATATCCAGTGTAAGAGAGACAATCAGTATGTGCAGGGTGATGACCCTGATTTCTAGGGCTGGGGTGTCACAAAACACCCCTAGGAGGTGCCATGCATCACCTTCAAGGATGAGCAGAAGCTTGCAGTCATCTTCTGGTCATCCTCTGGATCTCTGAAGCTTGTGGTACTTTCCACACAGTAACTCCTTGCTGACTGAACTCAGTAGGAGGAGTGGATGATTCTGTCCTGGGCAGCCCAGTCCTGGCTGACTACCTGCTGCTTCCCAGAAATTCTAAAACGCAAGGGCCCCAGCTAGCCCAGTCCCCAATGGATGTCTTGCCTACACCAACAACACTGTATTTCCCCCAAATCCCTCTGTACTGGCTGCTTTCCATTCCCCAAGACCATTCACTAAGACCTCTGCTCACCTCCACAGAAAGGACCTTCCCCAAGGCAAAGAAGAAGGGATGCATGYTGATGTCCGGGTCTTTGCGGAAGCAATTGGGCTTGGCATGGTGCTGGAAGTGCATGTGGTTCCACCAGCTGGAAGGGGCCCCCTACAGAGAATTGGGGATGTGAATATGAAAACTTAGTATCACCTCTCCCCCACTCAGACACCCCCTTAGAGACTGGAGTCTCAGAGAGCCCCCTCTGTCCCACTGACCTTCAAGTGGCCAATCACAAAATGATGTAGCAGGTGATTCCATGTAGAGGTGCCAAAGACTGACAGATGACCAAAGTCATGCTGTAGCCAGCCAGCCTGAGCCTAGGAGAGAAAGGTTAGTGCCAAGAGCCACCAGCCTGCCCAGCATCCTTCTCCCTGACCTCAGCAGTCCCTTCAGCCTATCCCTCTTCTTTCACTCACCCAGGCCTGTGCTGGCCACAGTGCTCCCAACTGAGCACATCAAGAAAGAAGTTAGGAAACCCGAGTCTCAATTCTGGCTCTGCCACTGATTCACATGGGAGTTGATGCAGATCACAATCCCTTCTGTGCTTTTCAGTTTCCCCATTTCTGAAGTTCCATGACTTAGGATGGACTCAATCCAGGAAACAGAAAGGACTCAGAGATAAGCAGGCTTGCCACATGGGTGCTGACAGCCAACAACTGGGCACCCACCATTATTAGCATGTTGGGCTATGTTGGTGGAGGGGAGGGAGTCAAGCTTTGTTGAGAAACCAGGATCTTGGTTCCTGGCACACTGGGCTGTGATAGAACCTGAACTTGAAGTTTCAGAGAACAAATTCCATGGGAAGAAGGATTATAGAGACATTAAGAGAAATGATAATGTGCATGTGGCCAATGAGCAGATAAAAGTCACARAAAATGGAATGTTCTCTTTGTGCATCTACTCCCCTGGGTATCTTCAGATCTGCAGGCAGGATTCTTGGTCTTCTGAAGTGTATAAAGCTTTCCCCAGGGAGGCCAAGAATGGCTGTGCACTYGACAAGTCAAAGGCTCTTACCTGAACTATACTGAGTAGCACTGCAGAGAGGAGGAAGGTCACAAAAGACGTCCCAAAGACCCAAAGGATGAGCCAGGCAGCAACATCCAGCAAGAGGATGTGCAGCAGGTATAGCAGGAAGAAAAGGTGGTTGGACTTCATGAGTCCCATCCGCTCCACGGTAGCCCGCAGCTCTCGGAACTCATTTGTCAGCTCTTTCTGTGGAAGAGTGGGGCTGTTAATTCTTCCCAGCTGCAACCCACACTGCTGGAGACAAGGGCCCAAAGACCTCCCACTGAAGTAGCTGTGAGAAGTCCATAATCCTAGGCAAAGACCTCACAATGATGGGGAATGGTGACAGGAGGACCTGCTAAGAATGGGACTAGCCTATGAGTTAAACAGGACTTGATGTAGGTCCCTGTTTGCCATTTACTGTGTGATCCTTGGTGCCAAACCTTTCTGAGCATCAGTTTTTTCACATGTGAATGTATGAGGATTTTATGGGTCTATGCTGGGCACAGAGTAAGTGTTCAAAATATAGGTCTCCTGGGCTGGGGTTGTGGCTCTGTGGTGGGGCACCCGCCATGCACACATGAGGTCCTGAGTTCGATCCTCAGCACCACATAAAAATAAAGATATTGTCTCCATATTAAAAATATATATATATATATATATGTTAAAAAAGAAAAGTTATTTAAATATATATATATATCTCCTGCTGCTCACAAGGATGATGACTGCAGTATTGGTGGTGGCACCCTTGGGAGAATCAGTTTCCAAAGTCCTGTTCCTTTGGGCCCATGACCCTGTGACTGTACAAGAGAGGCAGGAATCTCAAACCTCCTGAAAACTGTCACCTATTATCTCTAGGTTTCCGTTCCCTCCCCATCAACCAAATCTCCAAACAGCAAATGGGTCTCACATTCTTGGTGGGCTCAAAGCTGGGCTGCTCCGGAGCCAGTTCTCCAATCAGGAGAGAGTTCATATACTTGCTCACAAGGCCCTTGTTGATGTGGAATGCCACAAAGGGATCCTGCATGTGTAGGGAGAAGACAGCAAGGTGAGCAGTCAGCCCCAGTCCCTGAACAGCTCACACCAAAGCCAGCTTCTGTAGGCAGGAAGACTGTACCCAAGCTGAAGCAACGACCACCTCCCTCCAGCCTCTGCTCTGAGTGTGCTGAGGCCTTTCCAACGGCCCACAGCTCATCTTCAGCATGTGGGTTACCATGAGAAGAGCACCACACCAAGGAATGAGAAACACTGCCAGGGGTCACCCAGAAAGACCTGGCTGGGCTGGCCCTGGTGCCTGTGGACAGCTTTTGCCCAGGAATTTAGACATAGGTGAGAAACAGGCAGAAGGGATGGGTGGGGCTGAGACTTCTCTTCCTTTGAAATTTGAACAAGGTCCTTGTTTCTGAGCCAGCTTCTTCGTGAATTACACTGCAAAAGTGCCCGAGTCCCCCTGTGTGAACTGTGGAACTTGTCACTTTTCTCCCCTTCTGTGCACCATGGTTAGGGGCAGGTTCCCAACTTCCTCTAACTCTTACCAACCCCTCCCCAAGATGCCTAATTTCAGTGGTGTCCTCTAAGACAGGATTCACATTAGCAGATGGGGTGGGGGGTGGCCCTTTGGCGAGAAGGGGCTAGTGAGGCGGGGCAGAGCCAAAAATCCAGTGGCACCACACATCCAGACCAATCACCAACCAAGCTGTGGTGTTCCAGGCCCCAAATCACACACAGCCTGTTGTCGACTTGCTCCATCTTCGAAAGCGGCCTAGGCTCATGCTGTCCACAACCACCTGGGCTTGTGAGTGGTCGCAACAGGCAACGCAAACCGCACAGGCTCTAGCCTCACACCTAAGGCAGCTTGTCAGAGGGAGGGCAGGTCTTCACCCTGCAGCTCCAGACGATTTAGCTGGAACTCTAGTGACCTGAGGCATGCTTTGGGACATCAGGGCAGAGATGGGAATGAAGATGGGAATGATAGGTTTAGGGTGTCACACCACACTGCATGGGATTAGRAACAGATCCCTGCGTGGGAAGGGAGGGGTTAACAATGAGGAACCAGTCACAAGCGGTAATCACCCCCATCCCCTGCTCCAGCCCAGGGAGGCTATGAAAGGCTCTTTGTAATCCAGAAAGAGAATCAGTAGAGCTAGGCATGCATGATAGTGCACACCTGTCTCAAAGAGCTGGGGATGTTGCTCAGAGGTAAAGCACTTGCCTAGCCTACACGCCAGGCCCTGGGGGTTCAGTCCTTAGGACTGCAAAAACACAAAAACCAAACCAATCAACCAGTGGGATCTGGGTTTTGCAGAGCAAACCCACCCTGAAGCAAGGCAAGGGAGGATAGCAGTCATTTGTGCCAAATAGCTAGAGATCCAATGATATTTGGCTAGGTGACCTCTCCGGCAGTGTTCAAAGACAGTTCTGGAAATCTTCCATAGTGTATGCCCAAGCTGGCACCCCCACCTCAGCACAACGCTCCCTTTCCTCCCCGCGCTTCTAGCCGGTGAGTCCCTTCCCCGCGTTTCCGCAAAGCGTAGGGGATCCCAAGGCAGCGGGCTTCGGGATTCAATCCTATCCTTGAGGGATTCCTCTCGCGCTTGCGAGTGCAGCCCAATACTTTCCATCAGGCACTCAGATGCGGCTGCGCCTCCAGCTCCTAGCCCTGGAGACAGGACGTGACTCCCTCCCTGCACTGACCCCTCCTCTCTGGGCCCTCGGCAGCACCGCTTGTATTCTCGCTGCCTCCTTCCTCCTATCCCGGCTCTGAGTACTGTCCACGCCTGGAGACCGCAGACGGGGGCTGCGGATGGAAWACACGTGGTGAACAGCCAGCCCTTTGTTTGTGTGTGCACATTGCCGGCCTCCAGCCCCAACCCCCCCGACCCATTTTACGGCCCCTCTCCTACTCTTGTCCCCGAGTCCGCAGGACACTTGATCATCCGGCGCCTCCCGGCTTTCTTGCCTATTAGTAGGTGGTCCACCAGGGCGCCAAACTTCCTGTCTCCCGCTCACTCTGCCTGCGGCCCTGGCCCGCCCCCTCCCGTGCCCCTGCCTGGCGGCGCTCACCGTGGCATCCTGCCCAGCGTAGTGGCTAATGACCCGGGAGCCCCCCGGGTGCCGGCGGACGAACTCGCTGATATTGTACACCTTCCGGTCGATCACCAGCCATCGCTCCTTCTCGCGCCCGGAGCGCTGCGCCACCTCCTCCCAGGTGAAGTAGCGCGGGATGGATCCCTGAGCTGAAGTCCCAGCGGCCACCGGGTCGGGGGCCATTGCTGGCCTGGCGATGCCGCGCGCCAGCTGGGCAGAGGCTGTCGGGCGCGCGCTCTGGGACTGGGGCAGTGCACGCCGGCCTCGCGAGCTCGGGGAGCGGTCCGCTGGTGCGCGCCCTGCTGGGTTTTCAGCACCCGCGTTGCGGACCAGAACCCGGCGGCGCGCGCTCCCATTGGCTGAGCCGCGTGGCGTGGGGCGCGAGCACCGCCCTCCCGCTGGCCCGCAGGGGCGGCGCCCCCGGAGGGATTTGTCTGCTCCCGGCGCCGCGAACACGCGCCCCCTCGCGGCTTCCTTAAAGTGGTCGCGGCTAAATTCTGCCTCCTGAGTTTCTGGCGGGGGGTTGCAGGGATGGCTCTTAGGGAACACCGTGGACAGAATAACGGTTTCCGGGGAGCGCTTGGGTGGGTCCCAGCTCGCTGAGGCCGAAGCCCAAATGCAAATAGGATCGGGCCAGGCTTGGCCTGCAGAAGCTCTGGCTGAGTGTGATCGTGCAGAAGGAAAACAAGTTTAGACAAACTGAATTTGGCAGTTTATTTGAGCAAACAAATGATTACAGAGTTTCCAGCGAGGTGGGCAGGCAACGATTATAGACAGAAAAAGAAAGTGACATACATAAATGCTTTTGGAGGCAGCTTTTGGGTCAAATTTAATTTAATTTGACGATTTCCCCAACCCCACCCCCACATTTTTTTTAAGTTGACAGATGAAATCGTGTGAATTTATAATGTACAGCATGATGTTTTAAGAATATATATAGTGGGATGGTTACATCTAGCTAATTAACTCTCTTGAGCGAGCTATGTCATTAACAGACCGAACACATTTGTGTCTTTCCACAATGTCAAAATTTATTAAATAACAATAAATTCACAGGCCACATCACTTTCAGTGGTGGTAGTTCACCAAATACTTGTGGGTTATCTGATAGACATAAGCTGGGCAAAAACGAGTTCTTATATTTGTCTTAATTTCTAATATCTGATAGACCCAACCTGATCTTTTCTTAAAATTGGGCATCTCGCCATAAAACCATGAAAAGATAATTTCAGCTTTACTATAAATTACTACAAATTCTGAACCTACTTGGAATGCCTGCCTGTGCCCTGAACTTACCCAGGTCCGGTTTTCCCTGACCAGATAACAACCCTTNACATATCTATAACCCTCAAGTCACATCACACTTCACACAGTGATACATATGTATGTGTCAAAATGTCTCTATGCAATATATATATATATATATATATATATATATATACACACACACACACTTATCTATATCTCCATCACAGAAAGACTAAGAAAGGGTTAATACCACTGCAGGGTTTCAGGATGCTGTATCAAGAGCACCAAGTGTTCTTTAACCCTGAAGGCAGTTAAAGAATTACTGTAGGCAGTCAAATAAGGATTTTAATGAACCCGTTCTGCAGAGTTGTCAAGGCAGAGGGTCTGGAGGGTTATGGTGTTAGTTTTAGAGTGTCAGCTTGGAAGGTTTCAGCTTGGAAGGGCTCATAGGGAGTCACCACAGAAAGGGGAAACTGTATTCTGTTGAAGTCTGGTAGACCCAAAATCAGAGGTTTGTCTAAGTTGGCCCGTATGTTACTTATCAGTTTGTGCTTTGTAGTTGTGCTGGGGACATGGTGGTTGTTTACTTATTCAAACAAGGCATAGAGTCATTCTATCTTGGCACTTGTACTCAAAATGTAGTAAAATTCAAGATGGTGTAACTCAGGTTACTGCTGTCCTATATACCATGGGGTAACTCTGAAAAGGGCACAGTCTGTACTCCACAATCTTCCCCCTGAATCCAGAGGGCATGAACCTGAAATCTCTGGAATAAGAGGAATCAATCTTTCTCAGAGACTGATGACACAGGTTTTGAGCAAGTAGAATCCAAATATTATTGCCAATAATAAGAACAATGTTTCTTTAGATGAGACCATATTATGCTGGTCAGGTTATACCAACCAGTCTTGATGCAGGCCAAAGGGTTCCAATTGGACCATGAACATGTGCGTGGTATGTGAGCTTTGAAGGATTTGCTGATTATTTGGAAGAACATGCATTTGGTATGTATGTCTTCAATATCTTTTGAAGTGTGATTGAGTTAACATTTAGTACTGCAGCTACATTTGTGTGTGTGTGTGTGTGTGTGTGTGTGTGTGTGTGTGAGTTCAGTTGAATTTTTGACATTGGCCAATTGTGGAAGGCATCAGATGCTCTTCTGAGTTCCTCCTGGTTTGTTTCAATGACATTGTCCATGTGTGTTATATTGACTCATGGAATTTCTTGTATTCTACCATGCCATGATTCAGGAAAGTCCCCATATAACATTTATTGAGTATGGGAAACTAGGTAAGGTTTTGTATTCATTGTAACATTAGTCACAGTTGTCACCTTTATACATTCTGAGTTTATAACATGAGCATTTGATCCTGAGGTATGATTGTAATATAGAACTTTAGTGTTTGATTTATGACATATTATCCACACAAAATTTCCTACATTCTAACATATATAGGTATAGTTGCTATATTAATGGGTAATAATCTATGGTAGGGGTAATCTACTCAAATATAATGAAACTCAGATGACCATTTTTGCACCATTCCCTGTTAATATACTATCCTGATATGTATAACAGGTCTCCTATAGTGGAAATTTGATGTTTACAATCATGGCATGTCTGTGCATAAACTATCGATGAGGAGTTCCACCTGAAAGCTGAATTATGTCTAGTGGGAAATCTCTGGATATTTAAATCATATTTGACAGGTCATGTATATAGTCCAGTAGATTTAAAGAAATTGTGTGCTTCATAATCTATTTGCCATAACCAATCCATCATCACCATGGATTAAAGTGTGGGGCATATAACTTTCCCCTGAGATATTCTTTGTTAGACTTGGGCAGTTGTCTTGCTTGTTCAGCACTGGGTATCTATTAGTGTTTCTATTATGCAAACGGTCGCTTTAGTGAATTGCATCTGGTGAAGTGTATCAGTGCTGTACGTGGGTATGTATGTATCTGTGGAGTTAGAGCATAGGTGCTGGTGTGCTAACAGAATCTGGGCAATAACACTGTCTTTGTGGACAAAATAAGTAGTAGGATGTAGTAGTTATGGTGGCACAGATGATTAAAAGAGGAATAATACGGGGCTGGGTTGTGGCACAGTGGTAGAGTGCTTGCCTGCATATAAATAAATAAATAAATAAAATAAAAGTTAATCCACAACTAAAAAATACATATAAAATAAAAGACGAACAAGGTTGGGGTTGTGGCTCAGCAGTAGAGTGCTTGCCTAGCAAGTGTGAGGCGCTGGGTTTGATTCTCAGCACCACAGAAAAATAAATAAATAAAATAAAGATTTTTAAAAAGATGAATAATAATAGTAATGAATAATAGCAATGAATGTGCATGAGAGGCGGCAGGGCGGACAGCTCAATTGCATGTTGTCTAAACTTGCCTATTAGTGCCTGGACATGGGAAATGTCATGATAGTACTCTACATTCCAGGTGTTTATCCTTCTATTGGATTCAGTTTGGGTTTTGCCAATGTGCTGCTGTTACTGCTGCGGTGGTCAAGACAACTGCAAAGTCCGAATGGCCAGTCGGATTGGTTCATTCATATATCTAGTTATAGGGGCAGAGACTGTTGATTTTCTGTAGTGTAATGTCCCCTGTGTTCTATTGTCCAATAGGTAGTCATGTCTCCCACTGCCACAATTTCCTGTGGGAAGATATTTCTATCCTTGATTTCAATATGCACCCTATAAGGTAGCACATTAGGTCTTTCTAATTCCCTTTTTGTTCTATATTTTCAATGGGTATATTTAAATAAGAATGTGGACTTCCCTTAACTCTGTGTTCTCTCTGATTTAGATTGAAACATGCTTGAAGCAATTTCAGTTGGAAAGCTGGGAATTCTGGAAATAATTGTTTTTTTTTCTTTTTAGTAGTACATTGTCTATTCATTCACTGCTTGGGCACCATACAGTCCTTGTTATGAAATGGGTTTCCTGATCCCTATTCTCCTAAGGGGTCCCTAGGCTACATTCCATAGCATTAAAGCTCTGGTTATAAAAACTGCTGATGGTTTTGCTGCTGCTAAAGCTAAACCTGATTCTGAATAAATGTCCATCTGTGTTTGTGGATATTGGTGTTGTATTTGCCCTGAAAATCTATTTGCTTAATCAAGTTAGATGGTTTAGCTTATATGTGTCTGTTAGGATTCTGAATTTAAATTTTGTCAGTGAGGGTTTTGCAGTCTTCACATCCTTGTCTTGCCCTTTGTATCTCAGGCCAGGGCACTGTCTGGTTCCTGTCATCCATGTGTACAGTCCATGAGCGCCCATATGTCCTTTCAATGCATGTGTAGTTAATATCTCTTGTGCAGTTTTTGCACATGGGTCTTTCTTAATTGTCCATCTTCCTCCTTTTTATTTTGATGCTTGGCACCTTGGGTATTTCCCATGGGTCATCATCTCCTTTTCAAAGTGTTAGAGGTGAAGTGTTTGTGTGTAGTTCTGTCTGCATCCTTAGTTAATTTTAAATTGGGTGTTTTGTCCTCTGACTTTATGCTCTGCGTCAGTGCATCTGCTAGGTTGCTGTATTTAGTTGTGTCTAAATCATCCTTCTGATGTGCTGATATGTGCACCACCCTAATACTAAGTGTTTGTGAGGCTTTTTGTAATTCTTTCCAGTTCTGGCATGACTACAGGTCTTTGCCATTTGTTTTATAACTGTTATGTGTCCATTTGTGTGACCAGAGCTATGCCATTCATATGGATCCCCAGAGGTGAGCATTGTGTTAGGATGTTTCCTTTTTACCCTGACCATAATTTTTTTGTTCAGTTAATGTTTTCTAGTTAATGTCTTGCCCATGCTAATGATTTCTTAGCATATTACAACTATATAGACCACATTACAGAGGAATCATTGTAGGTGTGGGACCTGAAGTTCACTTTCCTTCCTCCTGCTATTTTGTATATTTGTATATTTCTTCTGTCAACAAATTCCTCATTAGATGAGATCCTAGCATTTGCCTTCCCAGCTCCAACCTTTGACCCTTAATCTGCATAGATCTGGGATATGCCCTCCTTCCAGTACCCTAGTT